GGCGGCGGCGGCGGCTGGGCCGGGAGAGGCTGGCGCGCCGGGCGGCTCCGCGAATCCTCCGGCATCCGCCCCGGCGGGCCGCCCCCGCCCGCGGCAGCCCCCAGAGCAGCGGCCCGGTACCGGCGCCTTCCCGGCGGGGTAAATATTGGGGGGCCGCGGGCCCGCGGAGGGGCGCAAACCCGGGGGGAAACGGGGCTCCCTCCGCCTCTTTGTTTTTGCGCGAGAGGGAGGGGAGGGGAGGGGAGGGCGGACACACGCGCGTTCGCACTCGGGTACGGGGAGGGGGGGGCAGCCCGGGCGCCGCCCGCTCGGCCCGGCGAGGACAAAGGCGCGGCTGGGGACGAGGAGGAGGAGGGTGACTATTATTTTGCAGGCTTAACCGGGGGAGGCCCCCCCAGTCTGGCCCGCCTCCCCCTCCCCCAGCTGGACCCTTCAAGGCCCCAGCCGGCCGAGAGGCCACCTCGGGCTGGGATTGGGGGGGACGCTGCGGGGGGGGGGGGAGGGGGAGGTCCGGGACTAGGGTGCTGGGGCCACCCTAGACTGTTGATACTGTTGATTCGGGCTTCTCGGCCAAACCCTGGCTTCTGTGTGTTTCACTGGACAATCAGCAGCGCCTCCCCCCTTCTCTCCCGGCTCGGGGCTCCGGACCTGGGGGTCAGCGAGGCTGCTCCCCTGTGTTGGATGGGGGTGATCGGGGGGCGCCTGGGGGCCCTGAGGTGATGGGGTGTGTGGTCACTCAGCCACAGATTCTGTTTTCCTTTGTGGAGAGAAAGAAAGGGGTGGGGGTTATTTATCAGATCGCATTCTCCCGTTTCTGCTGGGAGAAATCCATGTTTTGCGAGTCTCCGTGGACACAAACTATGTTTTGTCCGGGTCTCTCTAGAGAGAGGATTCCCAAGCTCCTCTTCACGCCCAAACTCAAAGTGGGGTGAGCCCCCTCCCCAACTTTTCCCTTAGTTCTCTTGCTTGTGTTCTCAGCACAACCTTCCTGGGCACAGCCTTCCTCAGGGAGAAGGATTTGGGGAGAAGGGGATCCAGAGTGTCTGAAGTTACGCCCAGCGGATGCCTGTTTGGGGGCTCCTTTGCCTTACTGTCTAGAGCGTCCCTCCAATTTTTATTTTAATGGTCCAGTGATAAGGGCTCTGGCTGGGGGTGAGGGGGTATCAGAGAGTAAGGAAACTGTCCATGTGCTCTGCTGCTTGGTAGTTTGTGTAATTTTTTTTTTAACCAGCTGAAACTCCGGATTTGCGTCTGCCTTTTTTTTTTTTTTTTTTCTTTTTCACTTCGTTTTTTCCACCCCCCTTCCCCCCCCACCCCCCCCATGGGAGAATCGGCAAAGAACTGGAAAGCTTCTCCTTTTCCTGACTCTATCCTTTCTCCTTTCCTCTGGGCGGCTTTTTAGGGGACAGTGCTGGGACAGTCTAGGCTCTCTCTGGGGCCCTGCCCCCCGCCCCGGGTCTGGGTGGCTAGCGCCCAGCCGTGGTTTCCTGCAGGGCTGTTGTTTGCACCCTCTCTTCTTCCCTTCTCTGCCCACAGCCCGGTGAGTGGGGAGGGGCTGGGGGGTCATGTGCAGTGTATTTATGTAATTTATGTAAGACACCCAGACGGAGGGCGCGGGTATTTATATAACCTGGCGTGGGTATTTATGTAATATAGGATGCGGGTATATTTATGTTTCTCTCCTAACCTGCGGCTTTCCTGGCTGCCATGTGTGGTCTCTGAATTGGCGTTGGCAGAAAACGGACTGGGGGGGGGCAGTGTTTGTGTATGCACACACCCGTGACCCCCCCCCCGTCCCCTCCCCCTCCGTGCGGCTCACGGTGTGCGTCTGCTTTTCTTTCTTCCTTTGGTGGGTACACACAGGTCGGTGTGTATGTGAAATGTGAGTTTTCTGCAAATGTGGAGAGTGTTCCGCTGGCAGCCGCGGCACCTCAGCCGGGACTGGCCAGGCGTGTGGGCAGAGGCCCTTGGTTGAGAGCCCAGAGTTTGGCTGGCATGGGGTGGAGGCTACTTCCTTGTGGCCACCGGGGGCAGGGCCAGTGGCGGCTCCCTGGGAGTTAGGTGCCAGGGCTGGATGTGTGTCCTGGGCAGGAGCTGTTGGCTTCTGGCCTCTGCGGGGCCAGAGAGCTCCAGCCTGGCCATCTGTGAACTAGATCTCGCCCATCTCCCCTCCCAGGTGGGTCTGGCTTTGGGGATAGCGTTTGGCATAGGAAAGAGGCAGGGCTGCTGTGCCTGGTACAGCCGCTTTTCCGTCTTCCTGCTTTGCTTCCCAGGCCTGGCAGGAAATCAGTCCTGATTGTGTCAGGTGGGGCAGCGGGAACCCTGTCTGGGTCCGAGGTGAGGAGACTGCCACCAAGTTGCTGCTGGGGAGTGTGGGGCAGGTGATGTGGCCTCCCTAGTTCCCTGTCTGCAAAGGGAGACCCCCCCCCCCATATGAACACTCTGAGACGTTAGGGATCCCCCGTCTTTCTCCCCATTTGATAGTTCACCATCCCCTCTCCCCTAACTGTAGAAACCATCTCCTGGCCTTTGAGTTTCTTCTTCTGCAGGCCAGGATCCTGGAGGGCACAGGGATCCCCACCAGGGTGGCCCCTGATGTCTCATGGGCTTGGGCACAGGATGGGGCACAGGGAGGAGGGGAACTGCTCACATCAACATCCTTCCCTCAGGCCTCTCCTCCCACCCCAGAGGCCAGTGGCTAAAAACCTGGCTTTGGTTGCCTCAGTTGCTCTGTGGGGCCCTCTGGGGAGACCCTCCTTCTAGTCTTGAAGGAAGCCAACCCCAAACTGTCCATCCCCAAAAATACGTGCAGCGAGACCTGTGTGAAGTGCTTGGTGTTGTGGGAGAGGGAGGTGACTGGGTGTTCTGGTGGCCCCCTTTCCTGGCTGCCCCCTGAGTTGGGGAGGAGGCCCCTCTCCAGCAGGGCACACTGCACGCTGGCAAGCTCTGGCCTCTGGAAAGACCAGGCCAGGCCGTGGAGGCCTCGTGTCCGGTTCCTGGCACTAGAAGCAGAGAAGGTTAGGGGTGGGGGCCGGGGTTAGGGTTCACCTTGTCCTTCCGTCCCTGGAGGTTGGAACCTGCCGGTGGTTGCCACGGTAGCACCCCCAGAACGAGCAGCTCCTGTGTCCCCCCCCTCCCCCATCACCCCCTTTGTCTTTGATTTTCCTTTCAGGGTCTTGGCCCTTTGTGACTGGCCCGCACCTGAGAGGCTTTTATTGGAGGGTCCCCAGATGCGTGTCCCCCGAGGAGATGCTTGCTTGGCTCTTTCCTCCCGGGCCTTATCTCCGATTCCGCCTTCTGCCTGGCCACCCTGACATGTGTTCTCAGCCCGCCTCCGCTATTGCTCACACGTGGAGGCCATCAGGCCACCTGACACCTGGATGCCCTCGGGCAAAGCCAGGCCAAATCTCTTCCTGTACAGTGGGAGGGAGAATGCTGGTCTCCCGAGTTCCTTGGGTCTTTCCCTGACCTTTGGTGGGGGATGTGGTGGGGTCTCGCGGCCTAGGCTCCCTTCCCGGCTCCCCGCTTCCCTGACCCGTGTGTCTCTGCTTCCCTCTGCAGCGAGAGTGAGTCATGGAGCTGCGTGTGGGGAACAAGTACCGCCTGGGACGGAAGATCGGGAGTGGGTCCTTTGGAGACATCTACCTGGGTAAGTGTCTCTGGTTCCGGCCTAGCGGTTTTGGGGCCCTGGGGACAGCGCCGGGGACAAGCAGGAGGGAATGTGGCAGGTCTTCAGGCTCTGAAGCCAGAACTTGGCTTCAGGCCTCCCGTGGCATGTTTGGGCCATTTTGTCCCCAGGGCCATCCCAGGTAAGGAGGAAAGCAGCAGGTTGTGGGGGAGGCAGGCCAGGGGGCTCCTCACGCAGTCAGGGTGGGGTGGGGTGCCCACCTGCTGCAGGCTGGGCAGAAGAGGGCATTTTTAGCCCTGGTTTCCAGCTGCAGGTGACCTGGGTCTCCAGCTGGGCGTGGGAAAGGCCAGGCTGGGGTAGCACCCCGTTTGTTGCCTCCTGGGAGAAGGATGCTAATAGGCAGAGGAGGCCTGGGCCCCCTCCCTCTGCTTGGGGGGGCCCCCTGGAATTCAGCCCAGGCGGGCTTCGGAATGACAGTGACGCAGGCTCTCCCAGTAACCTCTGGGTGGGGGTGGGGGGTAGGGGTCTGGCCATAGCGTTCTGGACCTTTCTCTCCGGATGTGCTTCCTGTTGAGAGTCTGAGTTTGTTCCCGTGTTGTCATTTGAAACGAATCGCTCACCCCGTTCCCTGACCTGGCAGAAAAGGGTCTGGAGGGGAGATGCTGTGTGGGTAACCTTGAATGGGAGTTGTTAGAGCAGGGTGGCCAGCCCCTGGGGTTTATCCTCATTCCTGTCCCTCTTTTCCTCCTTGGAAAAGCAAGGTAAATAATTTCTGGCCCCGGGCAGAGAAAAGAAAGCATCAAGGCAGTGTGCTGTGCTCATTGGTTCTGAACTTGGGGAGGAGGGGGTTTCTCTCACCCAGTGGTCTAGGTCTCTGCCCTCTTGGGGTACGGACTCCTTCTTGGTGAGCTGCTGCCTCCCGCATCGGAGGGGACAGGGAGGGGACGTTCTCTGAGCGTGTAGTTGGTTCTGGGCAGGGTCCTAGTTGAATGTGGTCGCCCCGCACAGCAGCAGCCTCTAGAGCCATGCTGTCCCTTCCGCACACATCAAGAAGCAGGTGCAGTACCATCAAATTGGCCACCCAGGGTTTCTCTCGAACACTAGAAAAGGCAGTCTTTATACCCCACACGAGCGAGAGGGTGTGACAGAACATGAGGGGAAGACGTCAGATAGACCCGAGTTCCAGACCGGGCTTTGTGCAGCTGCAGGAAAGTCGTGTGGCTGCTCTGTGCCTCAGTGTCCCCATACGGGAAGTTTGTGTGATGTTGAGGCCTGGCTGACCAAGAGCAAAAGGCACGGGGAGTAGTTTTTGGCACACGTGCACATCTGCTTCTAGGAAGCATCCAATCCAGGGCCTTCTCTTTGCAGAAGAGAACAGAATGGGGAGAGGCAGGCCAAGGTCATTTCAGAAAGCTAGTGTCCCTGGTCCATGTGGTGGGACCTCCCTGGGGGCAGAACTTCCTGTTTATCTAGTTTATTTTATTTTATTTATTTATTTATTTTCTTTCTTTATTTTTTTTCAACGTTTATTTATTTTGGGGACAGAGAGAGACAGAGCATGAACGGGGGAGGGGCAGAGAGAGAGGGAGACACAGAATCGGAAACAGGCTCCAGGCTCCGAGCCATCCGCCCAGAGCCTGACGCGGGGCTCGAACTCCCGGACCGCGAGATCGTGACCTGGCTGAAGTCGGACGCTTAACCAACTGCGCCACCCAGTCGCCCCTATCTAGTTTATTTTAAAAACCAGACCCAGGTTTGCTTCTCTTTGGACAGGCCCTGATGTAAATTCTACCAGGGTGCTTCTCGTATGCCCTTGAACAGGTGATGACCTCTGCCAGCCTTGGCTCCCCTGTCAGTAAAACGGGGTCGGTCATGAGGCCCGCAGGGTGGTGAGAAGTCACGAGATCAGAGTGTGCACAACGCCCGCACGTGTCGGCCCAGCGGTAGTGTTTTTATGTTGCCCCCCCCCCCCCCACCAGCCCTCCGTCTTTTTTGGGATTTGCTACTGTCCAAAGGATTTGGGTCCCCTTCGGCCTGAGTGGAGGTGAGGAGCCCGTTCTGCCCTGAGCAGCTGCCCTGTCCAGCCTTTGCTGGGTGCTCAGGCCAAGGGGGTCCTGGCATGACGCCACGTCCTGCTCATTCCTGGGCTCCTGCTAGTGTGGGGACAGTGGCGATTGTAGGGCCTCCCCGGCTGGCCTCGCTGGCTCCCTTTGTTCAGAGCTCTGGCTGCATTCTTGTCGCTGGTGCCTGTGCCAGGGCCTGACTCCAGATGGCCTCTGCAGGTGGGGTTGGGTGCGGCCTCCAGGTCCTGCTTTCCAGGATCACCCGAAGGCGAGTGCTTTGTGGATATGGCTTCGAGGCCTGCAGCTTCTCTTCTGGTCCCGCCTCCAAGTATCATAAGGGGACAACCAGGAGAGTGGGACCAGCTTTGTCAGGGCCTCAGGTCAGCTACACGGGGTCCAGAAGTGGCCGAGACTATGCCCACTCTACCACCACTGGCTGTGCGCCCTTGAGAACTCCCTATGCCTCTTAGTCTCTGCTCCTCGGTTCTCAATGGCGAGGGGACGGTGCTCCCCAACAGGTGGTTGTGGGGGTGCTTTCTTCTGCACTTCCAGTCCAGCCAGGTCCCTGATTATACATGTGAGTCTGTGCTGGGGAGAATGAGCCCCCACGTGAGGTTGGTCACCCCCTCTCCCCACCCAGGACTTCCCCAGGCCCCAGATCCTAGGGCTGGCCGGCTCCAAGCCCTTCTCCGTGTCCCAAGTTTGTTTTCCAGACTGGCCCATCCCCCAACAGGGCCACTGTATCCAACTGCTGGGTCACCTCCACCACCCCTGCTCTGGCACTCTTCACTTAGAATTCTCCTCCATTGCCTCCACAGAAGGTGAGCGGTGTTCATCCAGGGCAGGGCTGCCTCAGTGGTCCAGGGCTCACTGTGTATGTGTAGAGTCTTTGGGGACTAACATTTAAATCCTGGCTCTGCCCCCAGCTACACCTATGACCTCGGGCCAGTTACGTCACCTTACTGAGCCTCAGTAGCAGAACGAAGGGAGCTCAGAGACAAGGCTTGCAGCTTCCTGATAGAACCTAGAGGCAGCAAAAGGGGCCTTGTGGTGGTGGGAGCCTTTGGGGGCAGGCAGCTGTGGTGGCTTTCCAGCACTCTGCAGGGACACGAAGCCTTGGCCTAGGAGCGAGGTCCGTGTCCTGGGGAAGCGAGCGTGGCATTTAGTCTTTGACCTTTGGTGTTTTAGTTTCTGTGGATGTCAAGGAGAGATACAAACAGTAGTCCTTGCGGGACTGCAGGAGAGTTCAAAGGAATAAAGGGCTCCTTCCCCTCTCCCCCTCTCCCTGCTGCGCACATCTGCTGAATCATAAGAGGCCCCACTTCTAAAGTGTCAAGGTCTCTGCCTCCTGCCTGGCTGGGACCACAGTCAGCTCTTGCCTGGACGGTTGTTGGAGCGGCTCCTTCTGGGGCTCCCTCGCCCCTCACATGCCCTTCCAGTCCTTTCTAATATGGCGGTGGGTCCGAACGAGGCCGGGGGGAGTACAGATTTATTTGTCCCACAGGAGACATGTGGCAAGATCTGGGGACATTTTTGATCGTTTCAACTCGGGGAAGAGGAGGGTACCGCTGGCAGCTGGTGGGTGGAGGTCAGAGATGCTGCTGACGGCGCAGCAATGCACAGGACAGTCCCCACAGCAAAGAACTGCTGGGCCTCAGGTGTCAGTGGGAAAGCCGAGAAAGCCTGTAATAAAGGCGTTCATACCTGGCCTGCAGAGTCTCAGGCTCATGGCCAGGATCTTAGCCTGGCATTTGAGACCCTTCTGATCTCTCCCTTGCTCACCTCTTCCCGTGTCTTCTTCAGCTACCTCAAGCTCTGGCTGCACCAAACGACTCAGAGTTCGCTGCACCCCACTCCCGTCTGGCCTTCGCAGGTGCTGTGACCTCCCTCTGGCACAGTCCCGCTCATGCATCAGGAGCCCTTGCGGCCTTTCCTCCCACTGGCCTGCGCGTGGTTAGGACCTATGTGGGCTCACCTCTGAAGCCCGGGGGCCGGTACTTACCAAACCCAACTTTTGTTGAGCACTTACTGCGTGCCAGGCACTCAAAACACCCTCTCCCGTGCCACATCCTTACTGTCCCCCAGACACGTGTGTGGCTGTCCCCAGCGATGACTGTTGCTATGCCAGAAGCGCTTTACAGTTTGCAAAGTACTTTTTTTCTCCCGTGGCTCCCTGGATTTGGTCCTCTGTGTTCTTTTTAATTTTAATTTCATTTTACGGGGTTCAAAAATGAAACGACGCAAAACCAAAAACCAAAACACAAGAGCACGCTAAGTGAAAGAAGCCAGTCAAAAAGATCACACGTCGTGGGATTTCACTTACACGAAACGTCCAGAATAGGCACATCCATAGACACAAAGGAGATGAGTGGTTTTGCCCAGAGCTGGGGTTTGGGGGAGATGTGGAGCGAGTACTGAGGGGTACTGGTGTTCGGGGTGAACTTGTGAATATGCTAAAAAACCACTGCATTGTATACTTCAGAAGTGATTGGAAGTGTGTGAATTCTGTTCCAGGTGTTGGGAAAAAGTGACCACGAGGAACCTGGTGTCCAGTGCGGTGTCCTTCACCCTTCCAGGGCTAGGGGTCGGCGTAGCCGTGTAGCCCTCCCGGGTCCTTACTGGTTTCTCACGCTTCTTTGCAGTGTTTTCTTACGTAGATACAACCAAACACAGATAGGGACGATTTCCCCACCTTTCTTTGTTTGTTTTTAAACTGGAAAGAGCAGAGAATACATACTACTCTGTACTTTGCTTTTTCACTTCCTGTATCTTTGAGATCTGTCGGCTTGGGCACAGAGAGAGCTTCCTCATTCTTTTTCCATTGTATTCTGGGTTATTGGTGGGCCCTTCTTTCTTTAACCCGTGGCCAGAATGATGGCCACCTGGGCCGTGTCCACGTTTTGTTGTTGGAAACAGCTCACCACGGACAGCCTCGTCCCGGGCCTCTTTTGCACTCGCCAGGGTGTGGAGTGTACTCCCGAAGCGGGAGCGGGGATGCACCTCGGGCACAGTGCCCACCGCCCCACAGCTCTGCCGGGACAGCACACGCGTCTTGCTTTTTCAGGACCATGTGCGTTTCTCTTATAAGGGGGCTGAGCATCTTTTTCTTAAGAGTACGCCATTTTTTAAAAAAAAATTTTTTTTTCAACGTTTATTTATTTTGGGGACAGAGAGAGACAGAGCATGAACGGGGGAGGGGCAGAGAGAGAGAGGGAGACACAGAATCGGAAACAGGCTCCAGGCTCTGAGCCATCCGCCCAGAGCCCGACGCGGGGCTCGAACTCCCGGACCGCGAGATCGTGACCTGGCTGAAGTCGGACGCTCAACCGACTGCGCCACCCAGGCGCCCCAAGAGTACGCCATTTTTATATGAATGGTTTCCTCCTCTCCAAGTGTGTGTTCAGATTCTTTACACTAGTTCCTTTGAGCCTTGAGTCTTTTTCCTACTAATACGTAGGAGCTCGTTAACATAGTAGGGCCACCAGCTCTTTGCCGCTGCGAAGAGTTACAAGTATGTATTTCTTAGGACTTTGTTGCTGGTATTTTTGCCACAGAGAAGGGATTCCCTTTCTGGATGGGACAGAGCCCCCCCCCCCTTTTTTTTTAATGGCCTTCGGATTTTAAATCAGGGATTAAAAGGCTTGCCTACCCCAAAGTTAGAAGGCAGTTCTCTCTTCTATTCCTCTAACGTCTCATTGTTTTCTTTTTTTTTTTTTAACTTTTTAATATTTTTTTTTGTTTTTAAGTAATCTCTACACCCGAAGTGGGGCTTGAACTTACAACCCCGAGTTCAAGAGTCACATGCTCCACTGACTGAGCCAGCCAGGCGCCCCTCGATGTTTTCTTTTTATTAAGTGTCGAGTAGGCACAAAGGAATACGTACAACAGATACGCATAGTATTGGGCACCCTTCCCCTCGGGGGAGGACGCGCCTGTCATCTTGCAGGCCCCTGGCGGCCCACTGTATCCCCTCCTCTGCTTTCCCCTCACAGAGCGAACCACTGACAATTGAAATCGTTCCCTCTTGCTAAAGAGTTCTATCACGTTTGTATCCCTAGACCTGACAGTGCTCAGCACTGCACGTTCTGAACTGTGCCTGCCTTGTTCTGTCTTCCTCTTTTTTCAGTTGAGGTGAAATGCACATAAGAAAATTAACCGTTTTTAAAGTACACAGTTAAGTGGCCGGTGGGACGTTCCCAGTGTCGTGCCGCAACCACCATTCCCACCTAGTCCCGAAACATTTTCATCACCCCAAAAGAAAACCCTGTACCCATTAAGTAGGTACTCCCTCTTTCCCCCTCCCCCGACCCCTGGCAGGCACCAATCTACTTCCTGTCTCCGCAGATTGACCAACTCTGGACATTTCCGATAACGGAATCATGCAATATTTACGCTTTTGCGTCTGGCCTCTTCTCGTAGCGTGTTTGTAAAGTTCATTAGCGTTGCAGCGTGAGTCCGTCCTTCGTCCCCTTTTGGGCGGGATAACATCCCACCGCGTGGAGAGATGCATTCAGTGTGTCCACGAGTTCGGTGCTGGGCACTGGGTTGTGTTCACTTTGGGTTCCTGTGAATGGTGCCGCCCCTTGTTCTCTTGTACTGAGTGTGAAGATGCTGGGAGCCGCCCGCCAGCCTTTCCTCTGCACTGCCCTGTGGCATTCCTCTCTCTGACTGCGTCCTGACTTGGCCGTTCTGAGGCTGGTTTGGTGGTGTGCACATTCTTGTCCTCCTGGGGGCTCACATGTTTCTGGAGGGCACACACTCAGGAGTGGGCTTGCTTGGGCGAGGGTTTGTGTGTGTTCAGCTTTACTAGATGAAGAAATGTCAACCTGGTTTTCAAAGTGGCTATGCTTGGGTGCCTGGCTGGTTGAGTCAGTAGAGCATACAGCTCTCGATCTCAGGGTCGTGAGTTCAAGCCCCACATTGGGTGTAGAGATCAGTTGGTTAAGCGTCCGACTTTGGCTCAGGTCATGATCTCATGGTTTGTGGGTTCCAGCCCCACGTGGGCTCTGTGCTGATAGCTCAGAGCCTGGAGCCTGCTTCGGATTCTGTGTTTCCCTCTCTCTCTACCCCTCCCCTGCTCATGCTCTGTCTCTATCTCTCAAAAATAAATTAAAATGTTTTAAAAAATTAAAAAAAAAAAAAAAAAAAGGCTGGGGCGCCCTGGTGGCTCAGTCACTTGAGCATCTGGCTCTTGATTTCAGTTCAGACGGTGATCTCATGATTTGTGAGTTCAAGCCCCACTTCAGGCTCTACGCTGACAGCCAGGAGCCTGCTTGGGATTCTCTCGTTCCTCCCCTCTCAAAATAAACTTGAAAACAAAGTGGGGGGGGGGCAAAGTGGCTATGCTCACCTACACCCCCCACCTTTTTCTTTTTTCTACACACTTTGGCTTCACTTGGGCTTTCTCCTGGTGTGCGGTGTGAACTGTGGTGACTTTTCTCAGACGGCCAGCCTGCTGTTCCAAGGACGCTTATCACAGAGCCTGCTCCTTTCCCCTGACTTGAGACTCAGACCTTCCCTCACCCTAAATTCTTCTCGTGGTAGTGTTCTCCTCTGGACTTTCTGCTCTGTTTGTGTGTTAAGACTACACTGTTTCAGTGCTTGCAGCTACAGTTACAGCTGGCCCATCTCTCAAGGCTAGCCCCCAGACCTCTAGCTCAGTCCACTCAGTATTGGAGCTGGGGAAACTGAGGCAAGGCACAATTTGGATTTGGGTCTTTGTTGAGACAGAGCCTTGCCCTGCCCCCTTCTCTCCTTCCCACACTGACATCCCACTGACCTCACTCCTCTCCGGCTCAGTGGCTCCCATTCACCAGGATAAAATTCCTTTTACGTCACACGTCTCCCTTTACACCTGGCCTTCCCGCTGCGCCGGCCTGTGGCTCTGTGACGTGTCTGTAGTTCTTCCCATCCCTCCCCTCACACATGCTGCCTTTCTTGCTCTCTGCAGTCGCCTAAGCTGGGCTGGTTCCTGCCCCTGTGCCCGCAGCCCCTCCACTTCCCTTGGATGCGGTGCTGGGCCCTTTGCCACCATTCCGGCCTCCCCCGAGGGGTGCTGAACTGCTCCGGGGCAAACACGAGTTAGCCCTGGCCCGGGGCCACCTGCCTGGCCCAGCGTGACCCGGGTCCCTTGTGCTCCTCCCCCGCCCCTGGCAGGTGCCAACATCGCCTCTGGTGAAGAAGTTGCCATCAAGCTAGAGTGTGTGAAAACGAAGCACCCGCAGCTGCACATCGAGAGCAAGTTCTACAAGATGATGCAGGGGGGAGGTGAGAGCTGGCGGGGCCTGGGGGCGGAGCGTGAGGGACTGTGCATGAATATGCGCGTGCGTTCACAGGAGGGCCTACCCTGACGCCCCCCCCCCCCCCCCCTTCTCTGGCCCTCAGTGGGAATCCCGTCCATCAAGTGGTGCGGAGCCGAAGGTGACTACAACGTGATGGTCATGGAGCTGCTGGGGCCCAGCCTGGAGGACCTCTTCAACTTCTGCTCCCGCAAGTTCAGCCTCAAGACGGTGCTGCTCCTGGCCGACCAGATGGTGAGCCCCCACCTCCCCTCCCAAGCCAGGGACCGTGGGCTCTGCTGGGCTTACAGCTGCCCTCCCAACCGCTGCGTCCCCACCGTGCCACTGGGCACAGGGTGCCGGCTCTGCCTGCTGCCTCTGGGGGCTGCCACAGCGGGAGGCAGTGACAGGGCCATAGGACAGGCTTGGTTCCTGGACCGGGACCAGGGGTCCTTGGCCATTGGCTGTAGAATGGAGGAGGGGGTTAAATGCAGATTCCCGGTCCTACTCCAGAAATCCTGGGTTGGGCTCTTGGGGTAGGACTCTGCTCTCGGGTGATTCTAAAACTAGTGATCATCCAGACCTGGGTCCCGCCCCGCTGTGGTGACTGTAGGAGACCGCTAAGCCTCTCGGAGCCTCAGTCGTCTCAGATGAGAGTCTCCCCTTGGCTGGGTTGTTCGTTGTGGGGTCACATGGGACTCCACACAGTGCCTGGACCAGAGCAGATGCCTACTGATGAGCTGTCCTTGGGTCCTGACGCCCTGTTAAACTCAGGGGAGGAAAACTCTTTAAAAATCTAAAAGCACAGAATTTTGGACTCTTATTTTATTTTTAAATTAGCTCTGCGCCCAACGTGGGGCTCAAACTCACGACGCTGAGATCGAGAGTCGCACACTCTGCTGAGTAAGCCAGCCAGGTGCCTCAAAAGCGTAGAATGTTGGACCCGGAATGATACACAGACCTCTTATTAGGCAGGGGTCAGGGTCTGCGGCTGACCTACAGAAAGTCTGCAGGCACCTGCAATTTTGGTCTAAATGTGTGTGTGCAGAGGAGAGTCGTCAGGTTCTCACGGGGTGTGACACTCAGTAAAGGCTTAGGAAATACTCAGCCATGCCAAGGGAAGCTGTGGATTTTCAGAAGCCCGAGGTCCAGAAAGGGGACTGACCAGCCAGAGGGTGTACCCTACGCGTATAAGTCAACTTACTTTTCTGACCTGATGCTTAAAGGAAGAGAAGAGTCTGTGTGTCTGCCTGACTTGGGTGTCCTTTGCAAGTTGGGGGACAAATCCTGTCTTTTAGACTCCATCTCTGTCACCATTGTCGAGGCTTCACTGGCTCTTCTCCCTCTCCCCCCTTCCCCCGTCATTTGGTTGCCAGAACACCCTTCGAAATGCTTCTCTGACTCTGGCTTCAGGCAGCAAAGGCTTCCATGGGGGCCCAGGTGCCTTTCCAGGTTTCATTTCCTATCTTGCTGTCTTTCCCCATCTCACAACAACCTCGGTGAACTCCTCTTTCAGAATTTCTGTATCACTTCCTCCAGGAAGCCTTCTCTGACTTGCCCCTGGAAATCGTCTTACATAGTTGCAGACAGATCTTTCTCCCCTACCCGGGGCAGGGACCATGGGTGTGTTTTCTGTCCCTGCCACCCCAGCCCCCCGCCCCCAATCCAGGGCCTGGCGCAGAGTGCTTGGTGAAGGCCCTTCCGTGGACCGCTTGCTGAATGATTTGCTGTCCCCTCCCCAGATCAGCCGCATCGAGTACATCCACTCCAAGAACTTCATACACCGCGACGTCAAGCCCGACAACTTCCTCATGGGGTTGGGGAAGAAGGGCAACCTGGTGTACATCATCGACTTTGGCCTGGCCAAGAAATACCGGGACGCCCGCACCCACCAGCATATCCCCTACCGGGAAAACAAGAACTTGACTGGCACTGCCCGCTATGCCTCCATCAACACCCATCTGGGCATCGGTGAGTGTCCGAGGCCCAAGAGCAGTGCGCGCCCATGGGCTGCTGGCCGGGACCCTGGCTTTCTGTGGCCTGGATTTACCCCTCCCCCCCCTCCCCCCCCCCCCCCCCGCCGCCGGCCTTTTTTTAAGTTTATTTATTTTGAGAGAGAAATTGAGTCCCAACTAGGCTCCGTGCCATCAGCGCAGAGCCAGATGCAGGGCTCGAACTCACAGACTGCGGGATCATGACCTGAGCTGAAATAAGAGTTGGACGCTTAACCAACTGAGCCACCCAGGCACCCAGTTCCCCCACTTTTTGCCCCAAAGTCAGATCTTCCCCTTAAGAAGAAGAACTGTGGCGTAGCGAGCGCCTGAACGTGCCTTTTTCATCCCCACGGCAGCCTTGGAGAACGGGTGGGGACGGTCCCCTTTTACAGTGTGGGGAACGCGGGCTCACAGGTGCAGCACAGGTTGCTTTAGGCTGTGCAGCTTGGTACGAAAGCTGGATTTGACCTCAGCCCTGGGTGATGCCACGCTTGTGCCCTGCCCACAGAGTGGGCTGGCGGGGAGGTACCAGGGTACCGGTTATACATAGTTACTGATTGAATAAGTACCTGAGCTGGAGAAACTGCCCTTTTCTTTCTTTTTTTTTTTTTTTTTAATGTGTATTTGGGTTGGGGGGCAGTGTGTGTGAGTTGGGGAGGGACAGAGAGAGAGAGGGAGACAAAGGATCTGAAGCAGGCTGCGTGCCAACAGCAGAGAGCTCAGACCATGAACCGCGAGATCATGGCCCGAGCCGAAGCCAGATGCGCCCCCAAACTGCCCTTTTCTGCAGAAGTGTTAATAACCTGCACCTGTTTGTGTTGGGGTTGCAGCAAGTGCGCGTGAGGGGGTGCAGGGGCGGTGCCCCCCCGTTGAGGAGGGTGTCCTGGAGGAGGGGATCCCGGCCCAGGCGGACCCTGCCCCTCACCCCGTCCTCGATTCCATGCAGAGCAAAGCCGTCGAGACGACCTGGAGAGTCTGGGCTACGTGCTCATGTACTTCAACCTGGGCTCCCTGCCCTGGCAGGGCCTCAAAGCGGCCACCAAGCGCCAAAAGTACGAGCGCATCAGCGAGAAGAAGATGTCGACGCCCATCGAGGTCCTCTGCAAAGGCTACCCCTGTGAGTAGCCCAGGTGGGGAGGCGGCCAGCCTGGGGACCCCCGAAGGCTTCTCGGAGGGGAAGACCAGGCCACGCAGCCCACACCGGACCGCTGCTGCCCCCCCGCGCCAGAACCGTTAATCGCATGCGCTCTGTCGCTGCTCGGGCCTCCTCTCCGGCCTCTTCTCGCAAGGGCTGCGTGTTAGGAAAAGCTAGTTCGGCCTTACCCCGGGAGCCTCCTTGGCTACCCGCATAGAACATGTCCCTTTTGACGCTTCTCCCCAAACGTGTGGGGTGTTACCCGCCCCTCGAGCAGTTCTGTGCGACACCAGCTGGGTGTCCTCTAGTGTAGCTCCGTTCGGCCACCGTCCGCCTGGAGGTTCAGGGCTTGATCCCACAGGCTGTCCTCCTCCTCCCACCTCAGATGCCACTGACCAGTCCAGGTTGCCACCTGCGCCGTGTGTCTGAGGTTCCCACGCCCTGCTCTTCGGCTGGGATTAATTTGCTAGGGCGGCTCGTAGGAGCCCGGGAAACTTACCTCGTCCACCACTTTATTAAAGGCTGTGCTGAAGGGTGTGGACGAATAGTCAGAGGAAGGGGTTCATAGGACGAGGTGTGGGAGGGGCCCGAGCACAGGGGCTTCTGTCCCCAGGGAGTCAACGTGTGTCACCCTCCTGTATGTGGATGCGTCCAACTGGAAGCTGCCCAGACCCCACACCGTTGGGGTTTTTACGGAGGCTTCCTCACGTAGGCATAAACAGTCACTGACTCCATTTCCAGCCCCCTCCCTTCTAGAGAAGCGTTTGGGGAGATGGGGCATGAAAATTCTAAGCTTTCTAATCGTGGCTTGGTCTTCCTGGTGACCAGCTCCCATCCATCCAGGAGCCGCCGGGAGCCCGCCCAGAGTCACCTCATCCGGAACAGAAGATTCTCCTAGTGCTCTTAGCGTTTAGGGCTTCCCCAGGGTTTTAGGAATTCTGTGCCAGGAACCGGGGGCAGAGCCCAGTGTACGTTATGTTTTCTGTTCTCTCACGAGGGGCTCTCCCCACCCCTGCTGTGGGCAGGAGGAGATGGAAGTTTTCCCCCTGTGGCTAAGCGCACGTTGGGAGTTCCCATTGATTGGGCTCTTGTCTGTCCGTTGGGCTTGACAGCTCTTGATCTGCTATCTGCAAGGCTCCCAGAATGGTCGGCAGGAGCAGGTAGAACGGTGACATAAGGCGCTGTGGGGCCTGCTCACCGCGGGGGGACGCTCGCCCCTAACACACGCCTCCTCGGTCTTCGGAGGCTCTGCCCGCGGGCAGGGACGGGTCTTAGTGCCACCCGGACGCCCGGAGTTCTGCGCTGGCGCCATCTTGTCGCCCCCCCCCCCCCCGCCTTAGGTTGAAAGTATTTGTGGGGACGGTGGGTGGGTGGGACGACACAGGCTGCTGGGCCGCCCGGGAGCCCGGGCCTCACCGTTTCTGTGCCTTGTGACCCCCGCCAGCCGAGTTCTCAACATACCTCAACTTCTGCCGCTCGCTGCGGTTCGACGACAAGCCCGACTACTCCTACCTGCGCCAGCTCTTCCGCAACCTCTTCCACAGGCAGGGCTTCTCCTACGACTACGTCTTCGACTGGAACATGCTCAAATTCGTGAGTCACGTGGAGGCCAAGGCGGGCTTGGGGGACTGGACGGGGAAGGCCCTGACTCATGAGGCCAAAGTGACCCAGTGGCGGGCGGGGCTCCCGAAAAACGGGAGCTATGAGCTGGACAGCGCAAGCGACCTCGCTGGGGTCCTGGAGTCCCCGCGGCCCCCCCGCTCCGGCCTCATCTGTGCTGACAGCACGTGCCGCTGTGGTCAGCAGGGCCCGGGCAGGGCTCCACCTCCCACCAGACCCAAGAGGACCTGGCTGGGCCTCGAGTCCCTCCTGGGTGCTCTCGGTGGGGCGTGGGTGGCGCTGGCGGGCCCCCCCGCTGTCCTCATTGTCGCCTACACCACCCTGCTCTTGTTCTGCACGTCCCAGGCGGCTGCCTTCACCGTGGCCCCTCTGGCCAGCCTGGACCCATTCATTGTGGTTTCTTTCTTCCTGGTCATGGGACCCTGGGTGTTGCTAGGCGGTTGCTCTGTCTCCCTCTCTTAAGGGTCTTGGGGGTAGGGTGGGGAGAAGCGTGCGCCAGCCATGCCCCGGAGCTCCGGAATCTGTGAAATTGTGTGTCTTGTTTCACATCTCTTCTGGAAAAGGGGGCTTCCTCGAGCCAGGCTCAGCCCCGTGACAGCGAAGCTATTGCACTGCCCTGCCCCCGCCCCTGTCCCTGTGCCGGGCCCACGTACCCACCCTCTTACTGGTAAGGACCCTCTGAGGCCTGGCCTTTCCAAGATTTACCGCTTGGCTGGGCAAGCACAAGAGGTTGAGCCTCTGCTGTGCTCTCTGTCCCTTCCAGGTGCCCGGCGCCCCTGGGCACCCAGGGCCCTCCAGATAGGCCCGTGGAGGAGGTGGAGGAGCTGCCCCCCCAAAACTACTGGCCCGTGGTCTGGACTCCGGGGCCCCAGTTCTGACGTCACCAGGTGTGTCTGAGCCCATCGGGGCCAGGCCTGAGGAGGTGTCCCTTGGCGTGGTGGGGTGCGGTGGAGAGGGGGTGGTGGAGAAGGCCCTGCCGGGAGCTTCTTGGGGATGAATCAGCAGCTGCCTGACGAACAGAGCCTGAAGGAGGGATGATGTTCACCCGCCCCGGAGGGCCTGGTGGGAACGGGCGCCGGGAGCGGCTTCAGCAAGACCCTGACGGTGGCCTCTGTATCGAACCTGAACTCATTAAACGCCCCCCACCCGTACTGCGCTCCATCCTGGTGTGCCTGTCCTTTCGTGGCGGATCCCCTCGGCTCGCTCTGCCAGACGCTCAGGACGCGAGGCCTTATTCTCTTGGACGCTGGGGTCGGCACTGGGTCTCACGCCCCTCTTCTCTCTGGGTCTCAGGCAGTGGCCTGGCACCGTTCCCTGAGGAGTTCGACAGAGGTCGGGCAGAGAACAGCGGTCTCACAGGCCAAGGGACCCGAGGGGTAGGGGTGGGAGATGGGCAGTGGGGCACCTTACAACCCAGACCTCGCAGCCGGGAGTGTGGCCGAGGGCCGGCTCTTCTCGCCGGAGGGCGTCGCTCAAGGCATCTGGCCGCTGGGCGCTCACTCATCTTTGTGGAAAGTCATTCCTGGGTCTGGTTCGGGGATGGGCTCGGCCCTTCCTCTCCGTGCAGCTCCAAGAACGGGTTTTACGTTGTCTAGGCTTGTGCCAGGCAGTATGGTAGCCCCTGGCTCCGTGTGGCTGATTTTTAATGAATTAAAACGAAAGCTGAAAATGTAGTCCCTCAGTTGCATTTGCTACATTTCAAGCCCTCAGGAGCCACAAGCGGCTGGTCAGTGGCTACCATATCCAGCAAGGTAGACGTGAACCTTTCCGTCATCACAGAAAGCTCTGCTCTAGATGGCTCCTCGCAGAACCTCTCGTGGGACCATCTGGCTGGCAACATCTCACGTCAAGCCAGGCCAAGAGCACCCTCCCCGCTCACTGCTGCCACTCTGAGCCCTTCCTGGGGTCCCTTTAGAGGCAAGCTCTTGAGTCGGAAGCTGAGCAGAGGTGCCAGCAGCCTTACTCTGCACCGATCTCTGACTTGGCCTGGGCTGGATCAGCGGGCGCCTTTGACCCCGTCACCCTGGTGAGCTCGACCGTCTTCACCTGCCCTTTGGCGGAAGCATCTGCAGACCTGTGACGGGGACCTTCCATGCCTTCGCCTCAAGGCCAGGCCCCCCCCCCGGTGCCGTTACCAGCACCTACCTGCAGACTGGACACCGTGCTGGGCACAGAGGGCCACGGGAAGGATCTTACCCTTGACTGAGAGCTTCTCTCCCTGAAGTGGCCTCCCCGTTCAGCATCAGGGCCCTGGAGTCCCTGGATACCTGGAGCCTGGGACATTGCTCTCAGCACACAGAGCCGCTGTGTTCCAAGGTCCAACCAGCAGGCCAGGAGGATACTCCATATAGCCAAGGACAGGGGTCCACACGACAGGGCTGGATGCTTGTGTGACTTTGATGTTGACCTTTTGTGTTTTCTGTGGGCAAATAAAAGCCAAGAAACCTCCCCGGTGTGCATTTCTTGAGGCATCACTGGTTAGGTGGAAACGTGGAGAACGGCTCCTCCTGCTTCGGGCCTGGCCTTGACCCGAGACTGCTGGGGTCACAAAGGGCAGGGTCTCCAGCCCTCTGCTCAGTCGGTCGCCCCAAGGCTGTGCCCCTCTGAAGGGACCACTTGACTTCATCAGCCTCAGTTCCCCCAGGCAGGGGATGAACACATCCCTGGCCTGCCCTCAGGAGGTTTCCTGAGCGGAGCTGCGGCCCTTCTCACAGGCTTGCTCTCGTTCTGACTGAGTTGCTCTCAGCCAGCTTGTCACTGAGTGGGCAGGAGCCCGGGAGTGGAGAGGGGGTGGAGACTGGGAGTCAGGAGGCTGAACCCTGGTGGTTCCAGGCCTGCCTGCACCGGCCTGTGGGCGGGCGGGCTGGGCATGCGCATCCCTAAAATGTCCTACAAAGTCCTCTGGGGTGCAGAGCGCAGAGCAGAGCCGGGTGGCAGAGGCCTGGATTCAGATCCCGGCTCTACCCTGAGCTGTGACCCCACGTAGGTCATGAGGACTCCTTGGGCCTCGGTTCCTCACTGGGATTCAGGGATCATTCTGATCCCTAGTCCCTACCTCTTGGAGTTGCTTCAAGGCCGCGGCCGTCCCCAGCCATCATTTCCCAAGGACAGCAGGGCCTTCTCGGCCATTTCCCTGGGAGAGACACAGGGTTGCAGGAGCCTGCACCCCGTGGCCTGTGAGCAGGCCCCCCCACTCAGCCTGCAGCTCTCTTCTCCACAGATGCGGCCCCCCTCCTGCCAGCCCCCTGCCCTTCCCTGTGGACGACCCCAGGACCAACTAGGTAACGCGGCCGGGTGCCGCTCCCACGCCGGGCTCCTTTCTCTGGGCCTTTCTCCTTTCCTCCTGCACTGGGCGGGGGCAGCAGCTGGAGGGCAGGCCCTGGGGGCTCATGTTCCCCCTTCTGCCCCAGCCTGCCTGTTGGGCCTCTCTTTCTTCTATGGGGCATCTAGCCCGTTCTTTCTCGAGCTCCCCCTGAGCTCTTGTCTTGTCCCAGGGCCGGCAGCATCTGTGTGAGTCCCTGGGCCTCCCCCACAGCACCTGCCAAAAGTCACTGCCAGGTCCAGGGACAGGGGAAGAAGAGCCTTTGACAAGATCCCCTGGCTGGCGCCCTGGTCCAAGTGCTGGCCCTGCCTTTAGCTAGCCTGTTCCTCCTTCTCTGGGTCTCTGAACACCTGCTCTGCTCTGTTTGGAAACCTGGAGGGGCCAAGGGCTTCTGAACACAGTAGGGGCCCAGGTTGGGAGGGCCAAGGAGTACCCTTGGTCTTTGTGGGGCATTAGCCCTCTCGGCTCTGCTTCGGCCCCATGAGACCAGGGCAGAGTGACCTCCCTCTGCTTCTGAGACCCAGCTTCCTCCTCCTTCCGGGCGGTCGTGTGGCTTCGTTTCTCTGTACTGTGTGATCGCGGGTCATTCCCAGGCTTCTCGGGCTTCCTGCCTGGTGGGGAGGAGGTTGGACCAGAGGGTTTCTGAGCTGCGTCTCCCCCAGGTGCCCGCCTGGCCTCCTTCCCTGTGCTCTGCCCTGCGTGAGTGCCGGATCTCAGAGCACCCTGAGCTCACAGGGGCTGACCAAGTCTCATCTCCTCCCCACAGGGCGCAGCCCGGAACCCCGAGGACGTGGACCGGGAGCGGCGAGAACACGAGCGCGAGGAGAGGATGGGGCAGCTCCGGGGGTCCGCCACCCGGGCCCTGCCCCCTGGCCCGCCCACGGGGGCCACCGCCAACCGGCTCCGCCCTGCTGCCGAGCCTGTGGCTTCCACCCCAGCCTCCCGCATCCAGCAAGCTGGTGAGCGGGGACCTTGTGTGGTGGGCCGGACCCGGGGGGTGCCGGGGGCACCCAGGGACCCGGACACTGAGGGTGGCTTCTCCCCGCCTCACCCTCTAGGCAATACTTCTCCCAGAGCGATCTCACGAGTCGACCGAGAGAGGAAGGTGAGCATGAGGCTACACAGGGGTGCGCCCGCCAACGTCTCCTCCTCCGACCTCACTGGGCGGCAAGAGGTCTCCCGGATTTCAGCCTCACAGGTGAGCCGCCCTCTCTGCAGTCCTCCTGCACCTCACCACTGCGCCACAGGGCCTTGGCCTGGAGGGAGTCCGGGCTCGGGCGTCTGTTCTCCCCCCTCCGATAACCTTGGAGCAGCCCCTTTTGTTGAGCAGGGACTTGGCTTCCTTTAATCACTCTGAGGTCAGCTTAGCCCCACTGACCAAAGTAGACTGAGGCTCAGAGAAGTAGGTCGCCCCAGCAGGTGGTGGAGCTGGGATCCTGCCTTCACTACCGGGGCCCGGCCTGGGTGGGCAGCAGGGGAGCTCACAGAGCAGGGGCTCGTGGTCCCTGCCATCAGGAAGCCTCCCTCGGGTCAGGGTCAGCACAGGAGTGAGAGATGGGCAGATCCCGTCTGGTGGCCTCACTCAGGACCATGTTTGGACTGGGAAGGTTAGGAAGGGGCAGTCCGCGGTGGCCCAGGGAAGGTGTCTTGGCAGAGTGGGGCAGGATACCTGCTCTGGTCCTTTTGTCTGCCGTGGGAGAGGCTCGGTGCGCCACGAGCTGGGAGTCTGGTGCCTTGCCTCTCTAGGCAATGTTCTTGGCTACAAAGCAGCTACATCCTAAGGTTGTTGAGATCACACAGCCTTGCCCTTGGCTCCAGGGGCAGGGGCAGGGGCCGGGGCCGGGGCCGGGGGTGCGTGGAACTCCACAATGGGAAGAGATTTGCCAGGTTACCATTACTAGCAGCTGATCTCCTCCCCCCGCTGTGCCTCTCCTCCCAAAGACAAGCGTGCCATTTGACCATCTCGGGAAGTGAGGAGGAACCGCCATCCGACCAGTATTTGCTTAGGTGAGTCCATATCTGCTGTGGATGCAGCCCAGCCAGGTCTAGAAACGCCCCTGGCCCCAGGAGGAGACGAGTCTATGTTGTGGGGTACGGCGGGGAGTGGCAGGGACCCCTAAAACCAAGAGCTCTCAAGAGAATTTAACACCTCGAAGCCACTTGATTCAGGTTTTCAGTAGGCCCGGCCCACACCAGCTAATTTCTGCCAGAAAACTCTTTGCCGTTAGGCTGGTCATCCATCTGCCCACCCCGCCTCCCCTGCCCGCCTCTTTGCCCTAAAGTTGTCCGGAAAGTCGGTTCCTAGCAGAGAGAGTCTCCGGATCCAAACCCTGACCTCCCCTGGGGCTTTAGTCCTGCCTGTCCCAGCCCTCGGGCTGTTTTTAAACACAAAGCACTAGAATAGGGACTTAGGAGTACTTAGGAGTCTACGTGCTGGAATAGAAGGTGCTTGGTGGCCTCCACAAGCCCTCTGGCCAGTGTGAACCTCGATGGGAGTTTATGACCATGTGTGGTCTTCAGGTGGTGGACAGCAGGCCTCTGCTCTGGGGCCTGGCTTGGGGAAGGGGAGGTGGAGATTCTTTGGGGGCATGTGAGGGGAAGGTCCCAGCTCCCCGGGGAGTATGTACTTTTCAGGGGGCTCCGCCAGCTTGGCCTCACACCAGGATGCCCTGGGCACGATTTGCTTTGCAGAAATTCGTTCCAGAGACTGAGCTGGGACCTAAAACAGGGCTTACCTTCATCGGATCTCAGGTCCAGGGACCAGTCCTTCCGTGGCAGGGTGGGGCAGATGTGTGGCCACTCAGCAAGAGAACAGAGGAGGGAGAGAGATTGTGTTCTTCCTGTGAAAATGGAGCACCCGCTGTGTGCCCCAAAGAGGGTCCCGTTCAAAGCCTCAGGTCAAGAGCGTAGGAACTGCAGGTGGTCTGGCGGATGGGTGGCCAGAGGCAGACATGCGCCTGATCTGTCTTTTCTCCTCCTTCTAGTGTCTTCACTGTATTTTCTTTTAAAAAACAACAACAACAAAAAGATGGGGGAAAAAACCACTCAAAAGAACAAAAAGGAAAAAAAAAACTCAGCATAAAACCGACGATGGATTTTGTTCCTTTGATTTTTTTTTTTTTTTCTTTTCTTTCTTTTTTTTTTTTTTTTTCCTGCCAACGGCAAGAAGATGGGAAACCTTCAGCACAGCGGATTCTTGTCCCTCCGCGTTTGCCACTGTCCACAACCTTCAGGCTCCCAAATGCTCCCCCAGACACTGGGCTCCACGTGCCAGACGCCAAGGCCCCGCCCCAGCCAACACAGACACCAGCCGGGAAGGGAGATCTCTGTGTTGGAGATGCAGACGGTCCTCCGGTGCCATCAAGAGATGGCCTGAGGAGCTGGGGGAACGGTTTGGCTGGTCGGAGGCAGATCCCACTGGGTGCTCTTGAACCTCAGGACCCCAGGAAACATGCACAGCCCCTCCCGCCCTGCAATGACCATGGCCAAGTTTCTGTGTTGGGCTTTTACCAGCGTCCCCTGAGCGTTTGGGTCCCTTCTTTGCCTCTCCAAGAAGACTTTGAGGAATGGGTCTCAAGGTGGTGGGGGCCGAGATTCCTTGTGTGCGTGTGTGTCTGTGTCTGTAGCTCCCAGGACAGCAGGTGCCCCGCCCCACCTGCCGGGCCAACGTTTTGTTCTCCTCCTAACAAGGACACAGCGACCTCCACGTCCCTCAAGAAGGCCAGCGGGTCCTCGCCACCGCCGACCCCTGAGACTGTCATCAGCCTGGGGCAGCCCCCTCCCACTTTCCTGGTCTTAGGGCAGAATCCGTGGAGACTGCTTCCAGAAAGCATCTGGCTCCTGGGTTATAAATGAATTCTCCGGTCCTGACACCCGCTGGGGCCCCACCGTCCCTGGGTCCTGCCTCTCTTGAGGAGGAGCCTGGGGTCAGGGCTGGGCGCTGGATTTATCCACTCCTGGTTAACACCTGTTTTTACTTTCTTTTTGTTTGTTTTCTCCATGTGTGTATTTCCTAATTTATTTACCTCTTTTTCCCCTTTTTTCTTTTTCTTTTTTTTTTAATTAAAGAGCAAAGCTTTTTATTACTTTGTAATTTAAAAAACTGAAAAAAAAAATACTGAAGAAC